CCCACTGGACTTCGATGACTCAGGAGGAGAGTATGAGGCTGATAACTTTGTCCAACTCTCTCTAACTTTAATCCAATTCACACACAAATCAAGACATCACCTGTGATGTCATTGGTCCTCTTCAAAAATGAAAGGCGAACAACATATGTGATGTGGGACAAAGATATGTCTGTAGAAGCTGAGTAGCACAGTTTCCTTTTTGCATATGCTTTCTGTTTTAGGGCAAAGTAAATCTCCTTTTGTTAAATATTCAATGCATTAAGAGTGTCTTATTTCCTCCCACTATAAAACCTGAACTAACAGGATGTTGGCATCAGGTCTGCCCCTAACACAAGGCATTAAGTACACCTGGGGACCAGTCTTTTATGAAAGACTATTAGGACTGCCTTTCATTTAGAATTTTTCCCTTTGCATAATAACTTCTTTGTCAATAAATTTTTCATTCCTACCCCTATCCTCCTTGATTATTCCTTTGTTCTCCTTAAAATGGTATAGTGTAGACCTGCACAACTTGACAGTAGGTAGGGGCCAAAATTAAAAAGATCTTATCCTCTACCCAGTCCTACCTGAGAAGAACAATGGACCTGAATTCACCTAGATCACATTATCTTTACCTTTTAATCAGAATTAAGAAGCCTTCCCAGTTGGGTGGGGTCCTGACCAAGATTGAGAAGAATGTCTCATTGTCAGCCCTGTCCTTCACAAGGAAGTAAAAAGAAAAAAAAACCTACTTGGGTATAAAATTGGTTATTAATATAATAAGAAAATAATCATTTTTTTGTAAGAAACAAGCATGAAACCATGCTTACTTGGTCTACTGCAAATTTATGTGACATAACTTCAACTGGGTCTTACTGCTGCAAGGCAGTTCTTCTGCATTTCCCTAATTAAAATCATTATCCCACTCATCACAGTGCTTTTCCAGACCTTTTCATCCCTCCTCAAATGTCTCATTGCTGCCCTTTCCTACCCCCTCAGCAGAGCACTTCACCTCATATTTTATTGAAAAAACTGAGACCATGGATTTCAGAAAAACTTGGAAAAACTTACATGAACTGATGCAGAGTGAAGTGAGCAGAACCAGGAGAACAATGTAGCAGTAACAGCAACATTGTCTGAAGATCAACTATGAACGATTTAGCCCTTCTCAGCAATACAATGATCTAAGACAGTTCTGAAAGACTCATGATGGAAAATGCTATCCACATCCAGAAAAAAGAACTATGGAGTCTAAATGCAGATCAAAGCACACTATTTTCTCTTTTTTTTTTCATTTTCTCTTTCAAGTGGTTTTTCCCTTTTGTTCTGATTCTTCTTTCACAACATGACTAATGTGGAAATATGTTTAATATGATTATAGATGTATAGCTTATGTCAGATTGCATGTCATCTTGTGGGGGGGAAGATAGGGAGGGGGAAAAATTTGGAACTCAAAATCTTATGAAAGTGAATGTTTAAGACTAAAAATAAATAAAAGAAAAGAAAGGAAATAAAAAATAAAATATATTTAAAAGAAAAAAAACTGAGGCCATCTAATAAGAGGTTTCTCTTTTTTCCTCCTTGTTCTCAACTCTAATCCCTAAGATGCCTTCTGCCACTATCTTCTCTTTCACCCTTGTCTCATGAGGTAGCCTTTCTCCAAGGATAATCCCAGTGCATGCACAAATGATCCCATTTCATTCCATCTTCAACAAATTGCCTCCTCTATCATATCCACTTTCTCACTTGCATTCAGTCTCTCCTTGTTTACTGGCTACTTCAATACTGCCTTAAAATATGCCCACATCTCCCCCTAAGAACCAGCTAAACTGAAACTCCATTACTTCCACTGGCCTTATTAGCAAAGCTTCCTAAGGCCCACGTGACTTCTTTCTCAGGATGTCTGGCTCTAGATCAGTAACTGATGAGGTCTAGAAGTTAGGGGTCCTGGAATCCCAAAATGATGACAAGTGGGACCTGCCCAAAAGAATTTGTGTGTGACAGCGACCCTAACTCAATTAAACACAGAGACTTCTCAAGGTGGAAGCAAAAGTTACTCTTCATTACAATCTCTCCAGAAGGGGCGTCTGCTACTCCGGTAGACTACCAGCAGGAGAGAGGCTAGGCACAGAAAGCAAAATGGGATTATATACCCTAATGCAAACAAACCTCCACCCACCACTATCCCTTATTCCCATTATTTGGGAGGCGGGCTTACGTTCCAGGCCCCCAAAAAAGAACAAGGAAACAGGGTATAGCCAATCCCAGCATACAAGTCCTTATTTAGCAAACCTAGTGCTGATGTAGCAGTGGTGTGACAGTCAGAAGGGGGTTTAGGGCAGAATTCCTATAGGTTTAGGTAATTTAAACTTATGGCCTGTTCCTTCTGTCAGAGCCTATCTCTAGTTTCAAGACAGTCTTTTCATCACCACCCTGAGAAGTCTTCACAGAGGCTATATCTCACTCAAATTCGACCCAAGCTTTCTTTCAGCCAAACACAAGGTTTATTGAAGATTCGTCGTAGTAGCTAGACTCTTAAGGAATCTGAGCATCTATGAGCTATTGGCTAGATTATAAAAATCTGCACCCTGGCAAGATTATAAGAACCCCAGCATCTTAATGGAGACGAGATGGACCTTATATACAGAAAGACTGTGGGAGGGATCTAGGAGTGGCCAAGTAAGCTGGGGTGAACAGAACTCCTGGGACCTGGACCTCATGGCCAAGGGAGAGTCACAATAGAATTATCAAGGGTGGTGAATGGGATGTCCCAGTGAAGACTTCTCAGTGTAACTAAAGTTTGGGATAAAACTATGCTAAATATGGTAATGGGTTCAGAAGGTAGGATAGGGTTAAGTATAAATTTCTGTAAGTTTTTTTTTAGAGCCACATATCAGTAGTTCAAATTTGTCTAGTTGTTAAGCCTTAGCCTACTTTTTAATTTATTCAGATGTGCCTTTGCCCCTAAAAAGAATCTGGCTCCAGAAAACCCTTAAAAGGTTCTTTATCTGCTCCCCTTATCTCCCTTTGAAAGGACTTTACTCAGATGCCTTCCAGTTCCCTCCATTATCTGTCCCCATTGTCTATTCAATCTCTCAGACCTTCCAAAATAGTTGTAAACCATCTTTCTGCCATGGTGGCCTGGCTTCTAGACAGCTAGTGGGAGGGGGAATTTGCTCGGTAGGGCTATTTAATCTGGTTTTCTGCTTCTGTGTCTTTGTCTCCCCACATCACAGCATACTGGTGGAGGGACACCCAAATCTTGAGACTTGAAATAATGATAATAAATTAACTTTCTGTTTCTCCTTGGACACCTCGGTGGTTTTTTTTTTTTTATTTGAGTGGCATCCCACACAGTGGGAAGTGACATGGTGCCATAGGGAGGCAAGACAATGAAGGGGAGATTGGGTGTAGCCAAGATGAAAGGCCAGTTGATGGGATTACAGCCTCAGGCCCCAAGCCATGTGGGAAAGTCCAGGGTTTTTCCTTTCTGGGGCCCAGATTCCAACCCCATTATAACCACACCATTGTGGTTATTGGTGATGTCAAGATCTTTCTTATATAGTTTTGTATATTTTTGCTACCTGTTCTTAATCTCTTCTACTTCTGTTAAGTAAGTCTCTAACATTTTTGTCTTTTGTCATGCCCATTTTTTGTATGAAACTTTCCTTTGATATCTCTAATTTTCTTGAAGAGATATTTTGTCTTTCCCATTCTGTTGTCTTCTACTTTGCATTGCTCATTTAAGAAAATTTTCTTATCTCTCTTTGCTATTCTCTGGAATTTTGCATTAAGTCTCCCATTCTTTCCCTTTCCCTTTTCTTCTTTCCTCAGCTATTTGTAAAGCCTCATCAGACAGTCATTTTGCTTCCATGCTCTTTTTCTTTGGAATGTTTTTTGTTAGGGCCTCCTATACAATACCGCAAACCTCTGCCCACATTTCTTCAAGCACTTTACCAAATTTAATCCCTTAAATCTGTTCTTTACTTCCACTTCATATTCATAATTATTATGGTTATTTAGGTTATACCTATACATTCTGATGATTTTCCCTAATCTTCAATTTAAGTCTGAATTTTGCAATCAGAGGCTCATGATATCAGCCACAGTCAGCTCCAGATCTTGTTTTAACTGACTGTATAGAGCTTCTCCATCTTTGGCTGCAAAGTATATAATCCGTCTGCTTCTGTATTGACTATCTGGTGATGTCCATATGTAGAGTCATCTTTGGCTTGTTGAAAAAGAGTGTTTGTTATGACCAGTGAGCTATTTTGACAAAACTCTTATTAGTCTCTGTTCTGCTTCATTTTGTACTCCAGGGCTAAATTTGTTTGTTATTCCGATTATCTTTTGGTTTCCGGCTTTAGCATTCCAATCCACTATGATGAATGTGATGTTTTTTAGATGTTATTTCTACAGTATGTCGTAGATCATCGAAGAACTGATCAACTTTGGCCACTTCAGCATCAGTGGTTGAAGCATAGACTTGTGTGTTGAATAGTCTGCCTTGGATTGAAACATATAGTTCTGCCATTTTTTGAGATTACATCCCATTATTGCTTTTCATACCCTTTTATTGTCTATGAGGGCTACTTCATTTTTCCTAAGGGATTCTTGCCCACAGTAGGATATGTAGTGATCACCTGAATTAAATCTACCCATTCCCATCCATTTAAGTTTACTGACACCCAAGATGTTGATGTTTAATCTTTCCCTCTCCTGTTGGACCACGTTTAGCTTACCTTGGGTCATCGATGTCACATTCCAGGTTCCTGTGCAGCGTCGGACTTTCCTTTTATCACCAGATGTGTCTGCAGCTGAGCGTCCTTTCAGCTTTGGCCCAGCCATTTCATTAGTTCTGGAACTACTCGTAATTGTTCTCTACTCTTCCTCTGTAGTGTGTTGGACACCTTCTGACCTGAGGGGCTCATCTTCTGGTGTCATCTCTTTTATCATTTTAATAACTGTATATGAGATTTTCTTGGCAGATTACTGGAGTAGTTTCCCATTTCCTTCTCCAGTGGATCACCTTTTGTCAAAACTCTCCACTATGACCTGTCCATCTTAGGTAAGTGTGCATGACATAGGTCATGGTTTCCTTGAGCTTCACAACCTCCTCTGTCACAACAGAGGCCTGGCACATGTTAGGTGTTTAATAAATGTTTATTGACTGGCTAATTATAGTTCTACTTACTAGTTGTGTGACTTGACTTCTCTGATCTTCAGTTACCTCATCTGTAAAATGGAACCCATCGTACTTGAACATTAGGATCACATGAGCTCTGGAGATACCTTCCAACTTGATGATCTCTATTTTTGTCATTCAAAAATGGAGGGAACTGGAAATTTTCAAAGTGTTGTTATAAGTACCAAATACATGTAATAGAGCTTACGTTAAGTTCAGGGGTTTTTTTAGTGATAAAGACAAAGTACTTATAATTCTTTGTTAATATTGTACTGATTCTGTTTCTGTCTATTGTTCTCATCATCACCACTATTTTCATATTTTAAAAAGGATAGACAATTAACAGTTTGTTTGGCAGCCATTCAATAATAGACTCGAGGCCAAATTACAAGTGGTCTACACTGCTTTAAACATCTGTTAGCTAGCCAGAATGGTCAAGGAGAATTCCTCCCTGAAAATGTTGAGCCGATATCGTCAGAGCAGCCACAAAGTACCTTGTGTTTTGCTTAGATTAATACACTTCTGTTCAAAGTCACCTAAAAATATGATGGTAAGATCCTAGAGTATATAAAATGCCATGGTCTGAAATTACTCCAAATACTTTATCTAGCCAAGGTTACACTTCTAGCAATATATATGAGCGTTTGCTACAAAGGCATAATGAATAAAAGTGGCTTTCCACCTTCTTTTCTTTATTTACTCAGAGTAAAATGCTGAGAGTTGGATATCTTCTTTAAAAGGAGACACTGGCGAGACAATAATGTAAAGAGCACTTCAATTAAGTACTTTTCTATAGTTAAACATCAGGCCAGTACATGTTGCCAAAGAATGAAGACATTTTATTTAAAATTACACTGGCAAGAGACCATCAAATTATCCTTAACATTTTCATTAAATTGAGATACAGATATAGTTAGGGTAGTAAATCTCTTCTGAAACAAGGAGTTTATTCAAGAGCCAAGGCCAAAGGCAGTAATAACCCTAAAGAAATGGCCAGTGTCTAAGAAGAAACAGAGATGCTGGAGATTTTTTCAGTACTTCTGGGATAGAATCAATCCACACTGTGGTGGGTTTAAACTTAATCAAGATTTAGTTAATTCAGTTTAACAAACATTTGTTTAATATCTGCATATTTTGATACTTGAATGAATTCATAACTTCTAATACTCCTACTGATGTGCATTGTGACCCATTACCACACCTTCTCATCCTGCCATGATTCTTCTTGGCTTCTTTTGTTCAATCCTCCATAGAGATCTACCCAGCATGATCAATGCGAATAGAATCCAATGAAATCCAACTGCACATATTTATTGTAAGCAAGATGGTGATAGACAGTGGGGACTAGGGAGATGGTCAGAACAGGGTATAGGCCCTAGAAACCCTGACCACCACCTCCCCCCCAACTTCCCCTGAACTCTCCCACAAGGCCTTGGAGTTCCCCTTAGGCTCATTTCAATATAATCCTTTCAACTGTCCTTGCATTGTGGCTTTGACCCTGCCCCAATCTCCAATTCTCTATTACTTCTAACCTAGCCCAGCCCTCATTGTCTGCACATGGCCCCATCCTAGACCACCACTTCTTGATTCTATCTAGACCCCTTCCACATGTCCTCGGTCCTTGGTGTTCGTCCTGGGGCACCAGGCCCTTCTGAGTCACTCTTTGTTACCTCCCAGTCACCCCAGACTACTTGGCCACTTCTAGATCATATCCAGATCTTTCCAGAGTCAGTTTTTATGAAAGGTCCATCTTGCCTCCATTAAAGTGCTCACATTACTTAAGTCTGGCCTGGTTGTATTCTCATTACAAAAGCTCAGATTCTTAAAACATGGCCAATAGCTTGTTCAGCCCACCCCAACAAGTGTTTTAATAAACCTTGTCTCTGGCTGGGGTAAAATTCATTCGAGGTAGGACCCATGTCCTACCTAATGACGGATGACCCTGCCTAATATGGCAGATGTTCTAATAAACCTTGTCTTTGGCTGAAAGAAGGCTTGGGTCTAATTCTTTTGGGCAGAAGCCGCATGTTCTAATTTTGGGGTAACAGCACCCCCAGACTGCAACAGTCATGGGTTTGATTCCAAATTGATTCCAAATCCAAAGACTACACATATTTTACTTCATTTGTCACAAGGCTGTCAGATGAGGGAGCAGGAATGTGCAAATTTATCACCACCATTGCAAAAAACAACTCAAGATCTCATAGCATGGCCAAGGGAGAATGGAGCCTAGATAGGATTAAGGGTGGGAAGTGGCCTGGGGCCATAGGGAGATAAGACAATAGAGGCCCTGGCTAAGTGAACCCAGAGATTTGGCCATGTGGGAAAATCCAAGGTTTTTCCTTTTTGGGGTCTAGATCCCATCCTCATCAGCTCTATTTCCCTCTTTCCTTTTTTTGTTACTTAATCATCTTTTCTTTATTTTTTATTTTTTTGGTCCTCTCAGATCTGTTTTGACTCTACATGAAATTGTGGACTACTGCCAAGGTTCTGCAACTTCTAGCTACAAGGCTCACAGGAATACAGGAGAAGAGGAAAGGATTCAGTAGATGTCATCATTTATTAAGTGAAGCAAGATCAATCACCACTGTACAAGCCCTCAAGTAGAGCTGTGGCCAGTGGGTCTTCCTTTTTTTATCATATCTTTTCCCAAGTGATATCCATTATTCCTAATCTTCTTTGAAGTTCATTATTTGTTAAGCGTTGCAAGCTGCTTAAAGGAGCCAGTCACCTTTCCATTGCTTTTTGTGAAATAACTCATTTTCATTTTCTGTTCCTCAAAGACTGTTGTTCTGCATGTCTCATAACTGTTAAATCCACAGGCATATATTAAGCACACACTGCTGTGTACAGGTCAAGAACAAACATGCATGATTTTTCCCCAAGCTTTCAACTGGAAGGCCTTTGTAGAGGGGAGCCCAAACAGTGTGGGGTAGCTGGGCCTGTTCTCTCCTCCTGGGAGATTCTGATTCATTTAGATAATTCCTACCTCTCTTAGGGCAACAAACAGCCAGCCAGCCCAATCCTGCCTTGGGACTGCTGTATCTCTAGTGACCAAGTTGCTGTTTTAACAGAGCTTGTACCATAGTCAGCCCTTTGGGCTCGAGCCCATCTGATATTTTATAGGTCTGTTAACCTTGTCCTGAGGAGAAAAAATAAGCAGGGATGGTGGGGTGGGGTGCAGCTAGATAACTTAGATGACAGAGTGCTGGGACTAAAGTCAGAAAGACCTGAGTTCAAATGTGGCCTCAGATACTTACTAGCTGTGTGATCCTGGGCAAGTCACTTAACCTCTATTTGCCTTAATCCACTGGAGAAGGAAATGGCAAACCAATGCCTTTGCCAAGAAAACCCCGTAATGGGGTCACGAAGAGTTGGGTACTACTGAACAGCATGTGCCAGGCACTGTACTAAGTGCTTTGGGACACACATAGAAGCTACAGAAAGCCTATCCTGCCCCCAAGGAGTTTACAATCTAATGGGGGAAAACAAGCTTAGGGTAGGAGGAAAGATGTGGTAGAGAAAGAAATCCAGAGGAAGGAAGGAGCAAACATGGCTACCTGTAAGCTCTTCTTTAAAATGGAAGTTCCATGAGGCAATCACTCACTACTCAGAGGAAGGTGGCCCAATGGCAGACGAACCTTCCACTGTGAGAAGGCTAAAGGGGAAGAAAGATCCTCCAGCATGAGATATCTGTAGGAACAGAGAGATGTTCCAGAATGACAAAGCTGCCAGGGCAATAGAATACTCATCTTGAAGATATGGACCTTTCCCTGGAGAAAAATTGAGAAAATGTATCTTCTTCCCTTCTTTGCAGGGTTGGAAGACTATGGCTACGGAATATTGTGTATACTATCATTCTTGATTGATGTCTTTTTCTGAACTCCTTTGGGGAAAAAAAAAAGACAGACCTTTGTTTTGGGGAGAAGTTTGGGGTCATTAAAAGAGCTCTGTAGTTTCCTAAAGGCAATTCAGTCTGCTTGTTTCCTCCTGTTTAATACTAGGCCCAAGTTATTGTCCGCTTGTATTATTTGTCATAGATTGATAGATAGTGTGAGAAATAATAATACTAAGAAGTTAGGTTTCCATAGGATATTTCAGTATTGGGGTGGTGTGAGCACCACCAACCAATCAGCTTTTAGAATAGGACATGGGTCTAATCACAAACTTCCTAATAGAGGGGGCCCAGTCTCAAACTGATCAGGGTCAAGGGAGGATCACCAACTTTTTGCTAACACACATACTTGATTAGCCTCCTACATATTATCTGACACACCCCAAGGAGGGAACTTTGCTCATTTACATAACATGGGATGCATGATGAGGGAGGGTGAACATGTCAAGGAGGAACATGGGATGGGTGGTTCAGGAAGATTGTAACCCTGGAGAAAAAGTTTGGACCAATCCAAGCTCTGAAGGGAGGGGCTGTACCAGGCTAACACTATAAAAGCTTGCTCTCACTTCTGTGTTGGTGAGCCTTTCTTGTTATAGGGAACATGCTTGCTTCTGGCAAGAAATGTAATAAATAATTCTTCTTTCACTCTGGACCATAGTTTCATTATTGGGCCCAGAACTGAGCCTTGCTGTAGTTAGGGAGAGGGCTTGGTGGGCGCCTTTATAACAATAGTTAGTTAGAGAGATAGATAGACAGTTCTTCATAGATATGCTAATAGCTAACATTTCTATAGCACTTTAAGACTGGTGAAGTAATTAACAAATATTATCTCATTTAATCCTAATGTTATCAATATCACTATCAGTAATTCCATTAAGCCACTGTTGAATCAGGAAGAAGCTTTATTAATGACCTGGGAAGGCTGAAGACCTGCATGTGTGAGAGTACACATGTGAGAGGGTATGTGTATAGAGATGAGGAAACTGAGCCAGAAAAAAAAGGTTAAATAATTTGCCCAGGGTCACATAGCTAATCAGCATGAATCACACTGGAACTCATGTCTTACTAACTCTTGGCCCAGCACTCTACTCCAGCACTCTACTAAGCCCAATGTAGTAGTCTCTGTGATGAGGTTTAGAGGTTGGGGTGTTGGGACCCCAAAATCACAACACATGGGTCCTGTTTGAAAGAATTCGACCCAAGCCTTCTTTCAGCCAAAGACAAGGTTTATTAGAACATCCATCATATTGGGCAGACTCTTAAAGGAGTCTGAATGTTAGTGAGCTATTGGCTAGGTTATAAGAATCCAAGCAGTGGCTAGATTATAAGAATCTGAGCATTTGGCTAGGTTATGAGAATCAAAGCACCTTAATGTAGACAAAATAGACCTTATATACAGAAAGAGTATGGGGGGATCTAGGAGTGGGGCTAAATAGTCTATGAGGTAATAGAATTCCAGCTACCTGGACCACATAGCCAGGGGAGAATGGAGCCTAGATAGGATTAAGGGTGAGAAGTAGCCTGGGGCCATAGGGAGGGCTAAACTAGATTAAGGGTAAGAGAGAATCAGGAGGCAGGGTTCAGGCAATAGGGAAGGGCCAGTTGATGGGATTATAGCCTCAGGCAAAATTCAGAGATTTGATCATGTGGGGAAGTCCAAGGTTTTTCCATTTTGGGGTCTAGATCCCAACCATATCATCTAGACATCAGTATCTGTGCCTAGTTTTTGTTGTTGTTGAGCTGTTTCAGTCATGTACACTTCTCTGTGACCCCATTTGGGGTTTTCTTAGCAAAGATACTAGAATGGTTTGCCATTTCTCCAGCTTATTTTACAGATGAGGAAACTGAGGCAAACAGGGTTAAGTGACCTGCCTAGGGTTGCCCAGCTATTAAATGTCTGAGGCCAGATTTGAATTTAAGAAGAGGAGTATTCCTGACTCCAGGCCTGGTGTTCTGTGCACTATGGGGCCACCCAGCTGTCCCTTTGTGCTCAGTAGATATACTATATATCAGAATATGCAACAATATGCTGGTGAATATTTAACAATCAACTGGGGTGGGGGGAAGTCCTCACGGCATGCCTTTAAACTTAATTTGCTTAATTTTAAGCTTAAAATTAAGCTTAATTTCCTCCTTGTCTTCTAGACAATCAACAAATAATAAATCAAGCCCTGAGTTACCCAGTTTCCAAGGTATAAATGCTGAAATTGAAAATTTAACAAATGTCTCTTCTGAGTTGGTTCAGGCTGGTTCCAGCTCATTCCTGAATCAGTGTATGTATGTGTTGTATTATATAGAATTATATATGTGTATATACGCACATATATATGTATATCTATCTATACACACATGCACACACATATTCTGATATGTTGGGGCAGCTAGATGGTGCTTAGTAAATTGACAGATACTCTAGGCAATAGACATTCATCATTCACATGATTTTTCCTCTGTGAATGGTTAGTAGAAATTCTTTTGAGTTGGTTACAGATAAAGATCTATAGAAGGCTTTATATGGTCTGGGGCTTGATGAAACCAGTATACCGTTATCTGCAAAAAATGCAGCCTCTCACAGAGTTTGTCCTAAGAAAAACAAACAAAATTAGGTTGTGTGTCCACGTTTTTATTTCTATCAAGCTGGCTTGACATGCATTGCATGGGAGTTATAGTCCAGAACTGCCCTCCCACCGCAAGGGAGTCCAGAACTGGCTTGGTTTGGGATTTGGGGGTACAAGGTTATATGCCCTTCGAAGAGTAGGTGTTCCCCAAGGGGTGCCAATCAACTGTGATTGGTCAGCACACTGGGAGGTGGGCTATATTAAAATGAGTGTCTTTGAGTGACTTAGGTCACTTAATCCTGGTACAATACCTTTTTGACAGGGGCTGATATCCTGCCATCATTCTACCTCCAGACAGAGGAAACACCTGTTCTATCAGACCACTCTACCACCACCACCATACCAGACCACTCCCAAACTTGGCTATCTAGGCAGAAGAATCTGTCTCCACCCAAACCTGGGCAGCTTCCAATGCAATTTCATTATCAGTAATGTCCTTCTAAAGAACTTTTCACAAGGGGGCTGAGGAAGTGGAGCTCTGAGTCTAGAAATAATTTTTCACATTAGGGAATCTCTCTTCAGCTTGGATCTACTATGATGGTAGAAAACCCCTTTGGGGAAGCAGAGATAGCTAGACTCTTATAGGCTACCTCTTATAGGATAGCTTCAGCAAAATTGGAAGGGCAATGGCCTCATGAAGATTACTGCCGATAGCTGTTGCTTTCCTGCTTCACAAATCAATTGCTTTGCCTTCCTGATTGGGGTAACAGATTCCTGAAAAGGAGCTACATCCAGGACTCCCCACGTTGGTCTGTTCTATCTGGTTCTAATTCTTCATTGACAAGGTTCCCTAGAAGGTGTACATGCACTCACTAGGCATCACCAGGAAACTGAGTCTGTCGCAGGTCCATGCCATGTCTGACTTCAGACCTCTGACTCTCTTGACTCCTTTTAGATGAAACCATCTATGAACTTGAATCAATGTCAAAGAGTCAATCCAAGCCTCAGAGGAGCAATGAGGACTAGGTACAAGAGTAATTCGCACCAAATCCATACTTTGTTAAGGAGATAAAAGAGGGAGGAGGAGGAGCTTACCTGATTCTCCTTGGGGTATAATAGGCTAGTCAACACATTTGAATTGCTAACATTAAAGGAAAGGGACATAGCTATACAGCCCCATCCTTTCTTCTGCATTTTTTTTTAAAAATCCAAATCCAATTTTATCTTCTCAGCTCTTAAAGGGATATCTTAAATGCTAGACTCCTCTGCTCTTACTTTCACCATTGAGTCATTCTGGTTCAGCAGGTAGCTTTTTACTATTAAAGAAGGTGGTGGGTTGTTTTGTTTTGTTTTGTTTTTCCCCATTCCTGGTAATAAGGATTTCATAGCTATACATTTACATTTCATAGCTGCTTCTTGGAAGCAGAGAAAGGGAGGATAATGCTAAATTGGGTCCTGAAGATATTATCCTTCCCCTGGCTTGCTCCATATGGAATGTAAAGGTAGGCATTCACTCTACTTCTCTATATATATTTTTAATTTTCATATTAGTCATGTTGTAAAGAAGAATTAGAACCAATAGGAGGAACCATGAAAAAGAAGAAACAAAACAAAACAAAAGAGAGCAAATAGTATGCTTCCATCTGCATTCAGATTCCATAGTTCTTTCTTTGGATGTGGACAGCATTTTCCATCATGAGTCTTTTGGAGTTGTCTTAATTCCTTGAATTGCTGAGAAGAGCTGAGTCTATCAAAGTTAGTTATTGCACAATGTGGCTGTTACTGTGTACAATGTTCTCCTGGTTCTGCTCACTTCACTCAGCATCAGTTCATATAAGTCTTTCCAGGTTTTTCTGAAGTCTGCCTTCTCATCATTTCTTATAGCACAATAGTATTCTACTACATTCATGTAGCACAACTTGCTCAGCCATTCCCCAATTGATGGGCATCCCCTCAATTTCCAATTCTTGGACACCACAAAAAGTCACTCCACTTCTGCTATACATAGTTGAGCTTATGTTGGGGCTCGTGTCCTGGACATTTCCCCTGACCTAGAATCTAAGAGTGAAATACCTAAAGCAAAGGTGGTATCTTTTTTTTTTTAATTTCCAATTTAAGTTGAAAAATTAGGCTTACAAGCAAGTTCTCCTTCCAGTTTGCTGCAAACAAGGCATTATTCTTTCGTGCACAACTCCACTGAGGTATGGTGAAACATTTGCCAGAGGGCCTGAAGAGGAAAAATATATTAATGGATATCAGCTGTGACTTTGCAGGGGGAGAAAAAGGGGCAGAAAATGAAAACTTGCTGGAAAACTCATTAAAGTTTTCCTGCTATATTCCTATGTACTTGCCCCTAGAATCACAGACTTATTGTAAACAGAAATAGAAAATTACTCTTGAGAATATCCAAGACTGAATTTATAGTGTAGAATCTTATATTTTTCAGATGGGAGGAGCTTTAAAGATAATCTAATCCAGCCCCATCATTGAATTGATTCCTATTAAAATAGTTTTCTT